TAAAAGGTTACACGACGTACAAAAATGGACAAATTTTCTTTACTTCTGGAGTACTATTAGTGGGTAATAATGAAGTTTAACAAAAAATATTAATAATTTAAATTGACTAAAGCGTTCTCGATCTCCGCTGGCTTTAGTACCAGTGAGAGTAGTGCAGGGATCTCTTGGAGACTTGATTTTCCCGCCATAGTTACAAGCCTGTCTCGGAGTTTCTTTGCTTGATTGTAAATAGTGTATATAGGTATGTCTGTGTTTTTTTTTTTTACATTTACTTATCTTTAAATTATTTTATTTATTGTATATATTTTTTTATTATTCTTTATTTGTTATTTTGCTCCTGTTTATTTTATATTTTCAGTATTGTGTGTAAATTTAGCCTTTTATAACCAGTGTCCACGTGACAGAACATTATATTACTCAATAATTTAAAAAAATTAAATTATTTTATACCTATGCAATTATTCTATCACTTCGGCATCGTTAATTCGTGAGAACGCGCCTTGAAGAAAGGAAAGAGTTTCGATAAAAATGTCTTTCGGGGTGGTGCATAGCAGTAGCGAAACCAAGATTTAATTTCTGGGGAGTTTCAGCCCAAAAGCTTTCTTATTTTATACTACTTTAGAAAAAAGAAAAAAAACTAACTACTTATTTGAAATGGTTTTTAAGTGATTCTTGCAATTAAATGTGATTACACGAACAACAATACTTTTAGAAATAAATTTTTCATAAGAGATGGTTATATTTTACCATTTTTGGGGGCTTCTGCCCCAAAGTCTCCTCCCTTCCCACCTGCTCCAATTAGATCCGCCAGTGGTATATAGTATACTTGAGCATTAAATAACAACTTATTCAATTGTATTTTCAACTTGATTTTCTTTTGTATATTTAAAAGAGCGCCATGAAAACGTTATCGGTGGGTACCCCATTCTCGGAAATGGAGAAATCATTCCCTTTTGAAAGATCAGCTATCTACTTCACTGACACCAGATTATAATCGATATTTTATATTTTTATTCATATTTACTGGTACAAGACATGATTGCCATCAACAACTCTCACGTATAAGTAACAAATGTTCAATATCCTTTTAAGAATATAAACAGAGTAGATAGGAAAAGGTAAGGTCGTAAGGCGCTCCTGAGTCAGGATAGGAAGGACTAACACCTTCTTTGGCACTTATACCCGAGCCGACCTCCTTTCCCACTTTCACTGATTCCTTTTAAGACCACGACCGCCAGCTACTACTGGAGAGGAGTTCCAGTGGACGACCCCGCCCCCTCAGGACCTTACTACGTACTTGTGTACCATTCGGAATGTAGCTTGTACAAAGACTCAAATATTCTATCTTAATAAGTGCTATGCAACTTTAATTGCATTCCCCGAAACGCAAATAATCAAAATGGGAAGAAAGAACTTAATCTCAAGGTTATTTTTTATTTGTTTCTATTTTTTAATACACAAACACCTATTTGAATGAGGTGATGTTATGCTATTTATGGAGCTGAATTCACTTATCCTAATTCCTAATAAGTACTCCCGCCCGCCAAGTTTTAAAATTCGTTACACTGTACAGTAATCAATAAACTTTTTTTCTCTCTAACCTCGAGCCTTTCGAAGAGCAAGGTGTAATCTTCAGCTTATCAGGTTGCCAGGCAACGTATTTATTGCGAAATCCTCAAATACGAATTTTCATAACAATCGAAAAATAAAATTTTCCTGCTTTAAATTTTCACTTGTCCTACAGTTTCCTTTAACAATACTCCACTTATCCCTGTTGAGCAAATCCGATACCTAGGACTCCACCTTGACAAACGACTCACTTGGAACCCCCATACCAGACTGAAACGACAAGAAACCGCCCGACGTTTCCGATTACTTCAGCACTTACTAGACAAACGCTCTAAACTTCCAATAAATTACAAAAGACTCATATACTTGACTATAATAAGGCCTATTTGGACTTACAGAGTTGAGCTATGGGGCTCCACTAAACCATCGAATTCCTCTCGAATCCAATCCTTACAATCCAAAATCCTTCGTAAAATCCTCAATGCTCCCTACTTTGTTACAAATAAAACCATCCATAATGACCTTAATGTTTCTTTTGTTCCAGATCTGGCCCAATCCAGATACCTTTAATAAACTTCAGAATCATTCCAACCCTCTCGTTTCTAACCTTGCTTCCTCTTCAATTCCTGATAACCCTCCGAGGCGTCTGAAAAAAGATGGCCCCCTGATCTCCTAATGTAAACATATCATTAGAGTGCTACCATTGGGTAGTTACTCAGCAAGTGTGTTTTTATGTCATTATATACATTATGTTCAAATTTACTAGATGTATATATTTAATACAGTTGTAAATGTCTTTAAGAAATAAAAACATTATTTATTAAATTCACTTAGGCCTTGGTTTTGTTTTCGAAAATCATAACAATATGGAGATGTAACAAACCATAGTCACATCCTTCTATAGTTTCAGTGGAATAACATATGAAGGAAAAGAAACTTCATTTGTAAATTACTAAAGAGTTGACACTTTTATGTCGATATGCACCAACGATTTAAATGTATATTTGTAACAATTCATACCTAATGATAGGGCAAAGTATATTCAAATATTTTTTGAGGAGAAATAGAGTTGAGATTTGTATTTAGCAACTCCAAAAACACTCAAATACGAATTTTCATAGCAATCGAAAAATATAACTTTTTAGCTTCAAATTTTCATCATGGCTATTTTCTAATCCATACCAAGACAGAAAGTTTGAGGAATGTGGCATTAAATAAAAGAGAATTTCATGGAAACGTGATAACTAGTCACATCCTCTGGAAGGTGGAAAAAGATATGAAGGAAAAGAAACTTTATTTGAAAAACAATCCAAAATCCTTCGTAAAATCCTCAATGCTCCTTACTTTAAATAAACTACAAATAAAATCATTCATAATGACCTTAACGTACCATATGTTTCCGATTTAGCCCAATCCAGATACTTTTCCTTCCATAAAAAACTTCAAAACCATCAGAATCCTATCCTCTCGTTTCAAACCTTTAAAGCGTTTTCATGTTATTGTATTATTATTACCTTGTGCACATTTACTGGGTGTATTTTTAATTTATACAGTTGTAAATTTCATGAATAAATAAAAATAAAGAAATAATATTTGCAAAATAACAAAAAAGTTTTCATTTTTTTGTAGATATACCCCAATCATTATTTTAAAAACTTCTGAATTAACTGAAAAAAAGAAAAAAAATTGAAATCTATTTGGAATTTGTAATAATTGATACCTAGTGATAGAGCACAGTGCATTCAAATAATTTTTAAGAAGAAACAGAGTTGAGATTTGTATTTAGCACCTCGAAAAAACCTCAAATACGAATTTTCATAGCAATCGAAAAATATAACTTTTTAGCTTCAAACAAATGATCCAGGTCATCATGTAATGTAGAAACCACAAAAGTTTCCTCAAAACTGGCTGATGATCATAGCAGATTCAAGGGGTACAGGAGGTCATTTGCACTGAAACTCCCCAAAATAGAAAATCATTTCTTTTTCAATGGTTCATATTTGTTCCTATGAATTATCTTAGCCAAGTACTTAAACAATCACAATAGGTTCTCTTGCACAATTGACGGGACTTGTATAGGTTTTTTGTTTAATGTCACCCTAAACAAAAAACTCTAGTGGTGTCAGGTCTGGAGAGCATGCAGGCCAAGTCACTAGTCCTGCACGGCCAACCAGATGATTGGGATATGGGATATGATTGAGCAAGTCCTGTCAATGACCTTAATTCCTTACGAAGAAGGATAATTGAATCTTGTGAAACAATAACACATATCCAGTGGCGTTCTGCCACTGCTGCTGTTAAAGAATGATGCCGAGCCTTAATGCTCAAGGAAATCACTTTGAACAACATTTAATATGAATAAATGTTTACATTTAATTAATAAAGTAGTTTGAATAAATAAATAGGTTTTATTTATTTCATATAACGCGAATAATTCATAACAAAGAAAATCTTTAGGTGTGAATATCTCCTAAACAAAGCGTTTGCAGACATACCTTCAGAAGAAATTTTTTCTTATTTTGAGGTCCTTAGTTCATTTTTGCAGTTTGGCCACTTAACCCTGAAGCACCCTGTATAATGAGGTTTAGTCTCTTTTGCTAATAGAGAACATAACAATACAGAAAATATTAGTTAATTATAACTTACCAAATAGTTAAAAAAAAATTGACTACTAATATTTTTTTTTCAGATTACTGAGTTCAATATCATTTCTCATGGATGAAAAAAAAATCCTTAAAATAGGTATTTTTCATACGGGGTAGTAGTTTAATAAATTATATTTATTTACAAAACAATTTATTTCAATTAGCGATAGCAAATATCAGTCTGATCATTTCATTATTTTCTAAAAAATATACAAGTCAGTTTAATATGTGAAGTAAAATATTCTATATCTAAATGTACAACAATATTAACTGAGGAATGAATACTAAATTAAGAAACCTGAATTGAAATAATGAACTCAAAACTATTAGTAATAAATAGCATACCTATAAATTATTAAATACAATGATTAAAAATCTCACAATTGAAATAACCATAAACACATACATGTAGAGCAACATAAAATTATATATATACTTATTTTATTCTTCTTTTTCTTAAGTGCTGTGATAAAGGAAACTGACCACGTAACCACTGCAATGACTAGCACAACATTAAACATTAAACAAACATTATTATAACTTAATCAACTCCCACCTATTCCATGATAAAATATAATACCTCTCATTACCCAAAATAAAATCATTCTGACATAAAGCTAACTTCATCACAAACTTAAATAGCCTACTTTTGTCCAAATAAACGTTTCATTCCAAAGTATCTAAAACACTATGCAAAATAATTTTTTGTTTTATTTACATTTCATATTTTTATTTATAAGATTTAACAAATTAAATCTTGTCAGTTTATTATGGTTCAATTTTTATCATATCCATTAGACAATGCAAATAAATAGCATCTTAATAACTATACATGATTTTTTTAAAATACGTTTTACAAAAATAACAAAATTTGTATTTGTTCAAAAGTTTACAAAATAAAAAATTCTACAAAAATAAAAAAAAAAACATTCCTTCATTTCAATAACAATAGCTTTAACACACAAAATAAATCAAACTGTTGACTTAACAAATACCTAAATAACATTCAAATAAATTTGAATTTGTTTATACTACTTATATTTTGAAACATAAATATAAAATGTGTTATTGACAAACAATTGTAATAATTTTATAAAAATAACTGAGGTAAACATAATAACTGTTATCAACTATGAGGCTCTTGAAGGTTTCTCCCTCTCCAACTCAGATTCAGAATCTGGTTCAGGTTCGGATAAGGAGAGTGAAACACCACTTCGCCGCAGAAGCTTCGTCGAATCTCTCTATAACAAATCATTCAAAAATTTAAAATATAAAAAATCAGTAACAGTAAAACTCATACATTCTCTATAGATCTATAGTACCGAATAAGACAGATTTTAGGTTTATAATATATGTCATTCAAGTGGAAAATTACCATTAAAAAGGCGGACTGAATCTCTGAATAAGGAATCCCGATTCAAGAGATATAATTGACCTAAATAAAAAAAGCTATTACTCAGTGGACACAAAGTCTAATGCTTTATATCTTTGATTCTATGAGTTTTTTTCTCTTAGAGAACTCATTTCCAAGCTGCAGGGCTATTTATAGCAATTTGTCTTAGGTTTTGACAAATTTGAGAAAAATTAGTGTTTATTGACATTGGTTGTCGACCATACCACTTAACCAAAATATTAAATTTAGGTACTCCTTCGGCACACAATTTAGCTTTCTTTAATTTTTTAAGGAGTTTATTTTTTGCTTTGATGCACCTTTAAGAGTTATGGAGAAATAACAAAAAAAGATTTAAAAAATCTTATTTTTTTTGCTATAAAAAGTTTTTCCTTGGTGGCCTGCATTAGCAATTTTATTTTTACATGTATAAACCCATTTATACAAGTTAACAAAATTAAAACTTTTCACACATTTTTGCAAGAAAGTTCCCGTTTCGATCCTCAAGTTATTAGCCTAATATTCTTTAAATCAGCCGCCATTTTTTGTAAGCACCATGATCAGACTGGCAGACGCTCATTTTTTAATATAAATATTATGAATATTAAAAAAAAATGCTTTCAATTATTCAAAATGCTTCAAAAAATTTTTTCAGATAATGTTGATTTTTTTGTGCGGGCTCTTGGACTATCAGAAACGATACTGAAAAAATAAATAATATATTATTTCATTTCCAAATTATAAATTATGTTATGACATACTTTAGGACATTAATACCATCAGAACACAAGCCACAATAAAATAAGTTGACAAGCATAAGAGAGATGAGTTGGGTTGACTCTTGTAAATTATCTTTTAACAATCAACAGTTGAACAAACAGATCATTAATAACAATCAATTGAGATCTGGAAATAAGTTGTCTGTTCTGGAATTTTCGGTAACAATATAAGGTAGTGAATATGATTAAAGAAATATCAAGGTCATCAAAAAGTATATCATTTGAAGGATGAATTTTGTAAGATTTTCTGTACTTAAGTCAATGCCATTCAAGTCTATATTTACAAGAAAATCTAAAACTTAAAGAAACTATTGATGGTTTGGTTCACTTGTAGTTTGTGTGGTAGAATACAAACATTAACAAGAGATGGTTTGATGCATAAATTAACAATTATTTGTTTTACATTGGAAATATATTTATTTTTTAATCAGTAAATTATATTTTAATAGATCTAACTGCCAAAAGAAATAAATATAAAAGCATTTATTTAGATACTAGTAGGCCCGTGCGAAAAATTCGTACAGCATATTGTTATCAAATGCTAAGTTAATAACAAAATAAAATAATGCAACATGTCAAAAGATAAAGAAATCAAATGTTCCTTTATCAATAAATATGATCGACAAAGAAAAAAAAATTAATTTAAATCTTCATTTCTGTTTGGAATCAACATGTATACAAATTTCAGTAAGCTGCATCTTTGCTAAATATTGTCCGATTTCAATAATTTTTTTTTCATTTTGTAGGGAGTTTAGTAATCTTTTATATAATCATGGGCATAACCCAAAGGAAAATGTTTAATTTTTTTGTTATTCGCAAATAAAGTTTGTTTTCTTTCATAACTTGTTTGCCTGAATTTTCGGGGTGATTGGACTATTTTGCCCGCCTGAAGGAGAAGGAAGCCTTCGAAATGGTGGCTCAATCTTGAGATTTGGTGAAAAATTAACGATGATATGGTTTGCCAATCAAAAACACCATCGATAAATAATAAAAACTCCTTCTCTCTGGATCATAGAGTCAACTCAAGTCGACGAAATGAGACATGTATTCAATGACAGTACTACAATTAATGTAAGGTTGTGTGGATGCGAACTCTTTGCCTTGCGTTATATCGAAAATAGTACGTTTTTGGGATCAAAAACGCAGGATCCGATAGTTCCAGAGGAACTATCCTGGTCTTGCTGTACGTATCAAAATCTTCAAGATCCAATTTGTCCTGCATCGATCTACAGACCTACCACCGTTCCAATACTGAAGCAAAATGTTCGTATTGACTTTATCTATTTTAGAAAGAAAAACAAAAGTGGAGAATATGATTCGCTAATCCCCCGTGAAATTCTGAATCCAACGGTACCCCATTCATGGTATTTGAGCATGACAGGAGCTTATATTTGGTACAAAAACGATTTCGAGCCTTACTGTAATAATATATGTGGGGATAGATATAAAAGTTAACTAAAATCTTTTTAATGTGCATGCACTGGTTTGAAACATTTTGTAAAGCGTCAGTGATTAAAATGGTCCAGTATGTGTTTGGTAGAATGCCTTTTAATACCACTTTAACCTTTATTTTATGTTCAGGTGAATAATTCTCATCTGGAACATACAAAATTTTAAAAAATAAAAACAAGAATGGACAAGACAATGCATTCAACTCTCCCAACTGTACTGACAATCCTCACGTTAAGTTATGAAACAACTGACCACTCTAAACAACTATGCTAAGACCAGTAGGAGATATGGAGCAGAACTCTGGGTTTCAGCAAAACATGTCTACACAAACAAAATATAAGCAAATCATAGTCCGAAATTCTTCGAATAATTGTAAACACACCTTGGTTTATTTCAAATGATGCCATACACAACAGAAATCTGCATGCAGTAAAATGTTACAAACAAGACAATACCACATTTCACTCTTCAACTCATTAAAATCCTGAACCACTGTTCTTAAAACAATCCTCCTTACTGTTACCTGGTCATCCTAAAAGGAGGGAAAATGATAGTGGCCTAGAATCACTTGCTTCACCATTGATTCCAAATTTAAAACCAAGATTCATTATCATTATCAAGCAAATCCAGGAAAACAAATCAGAACAACAAAGTTTCCCAAAAGGATTGCAATCTATGTGCAAATATAATGTAAAATAAGAAATAAAATAAATAAATATGTTTCATGAAATCAAGATAACAATAAAAAAAATTACATGAAGGAAATGTGCTGAAGGTTCAGAAGCATATCCCATTTCTGAAGCGTACCCCTCACCTTCTTGACCATATTCCTCGTCTCCTTCATAGTCGGATGAAGAGTCCCCTGCAAAGCATTAACATTTTTTTTTAAATCTCAGTAATATAGGGCGATAGTGATATATAATATAATATATATCATAGTGATATATAATATAATATATATCATTATATAGTGATATATAATATAATATATATCAGTAATATAGGGCGAAAATGACCCAAGTGGTTGAAGAGCCCAAAACATAAATAAATAAAAAATATATAAATCTCAGTAATATCTAAAACATAATTTAAAATCTATGTATGTTCAGAAAGTTTAGAGATATTTTGTTCTGAAATATATAAAAGAGAGTAATTGCAATTGGGTATAGAAAAGGATATAGTGAATAATTATAGGAGTGCTGGAGTGGGATGGGAGCAGTGGCAAAGCAGCATCAGTAATATCATTTCTAATAATATATTCATTTTACTTTCCTCTCTCAATTTTTCCAAGGCCTACCTTTGGTCCTATTCTTGTTCGAATTACATGACCAAATCATTGACCCTAAGGCTGGAAAGAGCAACAAGACTGTTCTGGGTCAATCCTAATATAATTTAATAATATAAAAAAAATTACATTTATTGAAATGGGACAAAGTAAAATCACTTTCTCACTAAGGCCATTAAAACATGGCCTTAGAGGACTATAAATAATCAACCCTCTGTCTGTACTCAACATGCCATATAAAAGGCAGGGTATATACTGTTTAATGTATATATAAATATAAACTAAAAAGCCATAAAGATTGCACTTACCATCAGCCTTTTGCGTAGGAACTTTGCAGACCATTTGAGCAAGATCTGTAAACTTGTAGGTTGACTTTGGTACAGAAGATTTTTTGAGCGCATCGGCTTGGCCTATACTGTGTTTTCTAGCTAAGGGACGAATTGTAGTCTTTTCACTAAAATATGCCTTTCCGTGAGAATAACCAACTTCCTGTAAACAGTATGTTCAACAATTATCCCACCCTCTTGTATGAAATATTCCCCCTATTAAGGATATTTAATTAACCAAGGCTAAAGGACATTTTTTTTAGTCACTGAGTCATGCTAGAAGTTTCCAGGGAATTTAGAATTAATCCTAAAAACTTGCAGTTTTTAAATTAGTCAAAATTTGTTAAACTTCACCTCAAGATTTCTAACGAGACCTAAAGAATCGCAAAATTACAGGTTGGTAATATCATATAACTAATAAAAATAAAAATAATATAAATATAAGGGGGGAGGGTTCATAATTAAAAATTTGGTTCAAATCCAAAAAACAATAGAACAAGTATGAGAGCGAATAATATTAGTTATTATTAAAGTTTAACATTATAAAATCAACAAACTTAGTAATTAGTAATATAAAACTCATATCCTGGAGAAATAACTACATATTGTATATACAGATTTCGACAATTGTTACTTTAAATTTTGTGTGTTGTATATATATATATATATATATATATATATATATATATATATATATATATATATACACGAAAATAAGCATGTTTCACTGATGAAGCTTATATGTTGAAAGCATTAGGGAGAGAGATAATAGATATCTAATGTGAGTTCTCACTGCAGTAAACTATTTTACATTATTCTGGTAATTCTTTCAAAGAATAAAGTATCTTAAGTAACAAAAAAAGGGAAATAAAAAGTGCAAAACTTCAAATATATAAAGATTGACTACTATTCACAAAAATTAATAGAGCTCGATCAGAAATTTCTTTTTCTCTTCTGTAAAACTTTTAAAATGTTACAAAATTACAATAATTTATTTCGGATATGCAGAAATGTAACCTTAAAAATATATATATGTATACATATGTCACCTTGATTTCATCAAAACTTCCAAACTGTAAAGTTTTGTATTTATCTATGGGCGGACGGATATATTCGCAGTAATCGCTAGCCTTCACCTCCTGGAAATAGAAGGGTAAATATTATTATAAACATCCTTAATAACGAATCAAAAAGCAAATGAGTATCATGCAAGACATAAAGCTAACACCTACCTCAAGCTGTCGGACACAGGATACGTATGCTAACCGTGATTGTATCTCAGGTAGATTAGGAACTTTGACAGGCGTAGTGAAAGGATAGAAGCGCTTCCAAAGAACCCACCACCCGGACAAGTAGTCGCCGTAATTCGTTAGATCAGTGTCGTCCAACGATCCCACGTCAATGGCAATTACATGGCTAGCTCCTTCACTCCGCATTACATCAGCTGGGATAAAAATATGTTCAATATTTATGTTATATTATTTAAATATATTTCTATATATATTTAATTTTTATAAAAATAAACTGAAACACTGATAATCATAATCCTTGATATTTTTAATTATTAAAAATAAAAAATAAATATGACTCAATACCTTTTAAACGAAACAGGATCTACCAAATTGCTGTTATGAAGGTGGTTTGTTGTAATTTATCTGCTTAAATTTTGGTTTTATAGAATGAAACTCTATTTCTTTTTTTATTGAACTAAGCCAATTGAACATCATTCTTTTCCTTAAAGCCTTAAAACAGTTAGTAGGAAGAGGGCTGTTATGTTTTTCTCAAATGTATGTACCAATCAAACCATGCAGTCAACAATTCAAACACTTTTGGTTGGCATCAAAGCTTGAAAACTGCCATAATCTACCAGAATAATACTGGATAGAGAAATATCTCACCACACATCCGAAATGGTGGTGTGATATTTTATACTATAAGACACACCAACACAGCTAAGTTCCTTCAGCACAACTAATGTACAGACAGAATTTTCATTTCCCTGATGATTTTGTGAATAGAACAGCCAGCATTTTGTGTTTTCCATCAGGAAGATTTTCAGTGGATTTGGCAACATTACACATTATTTCCCAATATTCCATATGATAAATAGGTCATGTTCCATCAACAAAGAGTGAAATACAACACACACTATACAATATTTCCCAGATACAATAGATCCCAAGATATAAAAACCTGAAATTTCTCTCCCTATATACAATTATAACGAAAGACAAAAAAAAAAATTTAACCAAAAAGATAATGGTAGGAGTGCTATTGAGAAATAAATAAACCTTTAGGTAAATTTTACTGTTTTCATGTGATCAAAGTTTGGCCTAAATTTTATGCCTATTTTGGGACAAGACAAAATATGATACATAATAATAGAACAAAGATATAAGAATCACAGAAAGTAATAAATAAATTATTATTAAGTGGGGAAAAATGAAAAAGCTCATGTAAAATTTAAAAATATGAGAAAATAAAATATCTAGACAAATTATCATAAAAAATTAAAAGCTATACAAGTAACAACAATATAAAATAGAATAAATAGTACATAATTTAAAAGTATAGATAATATATGTTAGAAAATAATAAATGGGGAAGAAGATAAACATAGAAACAAAAGAAAAAAATAAGGACTAGTAGATAAAGAGAAAAAAAATGGAAAAAATAAAAAACTAATAAACCAAGATCTAATTGCATCGACAATAAGCGACATATTAAGGTAGTTTTTTTTTGTAAGCGGCCATGAGAAACAGAAAAAATCTGGAGCTAACAGAAGGGGGAAAGAAAAGGCTGATTATAATTTCGGTAAACAATACCCTCATGATATTGTAGATCTGAAGAATTCTGAAACTGTTTGAAACCAACTTCAGCCAAATGAGAAGAATATACGCCAGCCACCTGAGATCCTACGTTTATTTGGAAATAACATAACAGTCCATTAGGTAGAACACATAAAGCTTCCTTCCTTTGTATTGTAATTTATTTATTTATTTTTATTACTAAAGATAATTCCTTTGTTAATTCATCAATTTCCCCTCTTTTGTCTTTATTAATATTTTCTTTTTCTTATAGTAAGGTACAGACCATCACTATTAATATATTAGGGCCTACTACAACAAGGAACAATTCAATTTTTTAAGTATTATTATGAAAAATATAATTTCTTATCACAATTTTCAAATTAAAAAATAATATTGTTTTAAATTGTTGCAAAGGGAAACCATGTGGTCAAATCTTAAGGTAAAATTTACATTAAAAAAAAAAAAATTAAAAATTTTATCCATTTTTAAAAAATATAAAAATCTACTGTCTGTGAGAAAATTCACTTTTGTAAAAACAATATATTTTTGTTTCTCTCAAATCAGATTTCAGGATTACTTTTTTTCTATTTTGATTACTTAATTATTGACAACAAATAATTTGTATTTTGTTTTCTAAACTGAGTAATTTAAAGAAATTTAACATAATTTTCTATATGGATTTATAAAAATTGAACTAGTTTAACATAGAATATAAATCCCAACTAAGTGCTAAATCAATCAGTCAAATTAAAAAAAAAACACTAACTAAATCAAAGTTTCAAAGAAATCCCTGACACCCTGATACTATAGATTGCCATGATCTTAACTTTAATAACAAAAAACTTTTCCTTAAAGTATTGATTGTTTGATTGAAGTAAAAGATTGTTTTAATCATAAAATAATATCATTTTATGCATTGTATTTAAGGAATAAATAATAATGTTCTTTAATGTGCTGGTTTACACATAACTAGTTGGCCCATGTGAAAATTTTGCATATTATATTGACCCGTGAACAATTAACAATATAATATAGAAACAATTTAATGCAATGTATTATGAGATAGAGAAAATAATTATCTTTACTCAGTCGAATCACATTAGTCTATTCATAATAATAAACCAAAATATTTTTACATTACTATAGCCTGTATCTTTGCTAATAATGGTCCGATTTTAATGATTTTTTTATTGTTCGCAAATGATGTTTCTTTTTCTTCATAACTTTTTTTCCAGAAATTTTGGGGGGATGTGACCATGACTCGTCACTTCTCCATGAAATTTCTTTTCGTATGGTACCTCATTCAACAAAATCCATCACTATTGAGAGGCAGAAAAGTGATCTGCACTGTGATATTCTACCATAGTATATATAAAGATAGATTATCCTTTATATTTTTAATTGAAATTAATTTCCAGAGAATTCGATAGTTTGTAAACTTAAAAAAATCTATGACACAAAGTAAAACTGATCTCTTTTCAAGTTTAACTTGATGCGTTTTGACCACATTAGATGAACTAAGAAAAAAAAATTATAGATTTGAATAATAAATTAATAATTAAATACAATTTTTACCTGGTACATTGTTGACATAACAGCCGTCAGTAAGCAAGTGACCATCCACTGGGTCACACAAGGGGGGTAATACCCCAGCAACTGACATACTTGCTCGAACGTACGTCCAAATCTTACCTGTCAAGACACATCTAAATACAGGAGCCAGCTCTCGTAAAGGAGAACTGGCAGAGCTGTGATAGTATAATGTACGATTGTGATAGTACCTGGCAAATTGTTGACGTATCCCCCGTCTAGGAGGAGGTGGCCATCCACCGGGTCGCACAATGGAGGCATGTAGCCGGAGAGAGACATCGAAGCCCTCACGTAGCGCCACAACACCCCTGCATCACGGTCACACTCACTCATCACTCATCACGATAAAACATAGCATAATAGATAATACCCTACAATTCATCGGCAAACTTTTTTTTTTCAAGGGACAAGAAGTTAAATTTTTTTTTTAAATTGACATCTTTACTGAAAGTGAATTTTGAAAAAATAACAAAGAACAGACACCTATTAATAAAATAAGAATATAATTTAAATAAAACTACAGCCAACAATTTTTTATGTCAGGTTGATATTAAGTAATGAATAATACTTAACTTAATCAACACAAGTAAAAACATTGCTTTAAGCTAAATAACTGTTTAGAAATGATGCTATTTAAAAAAAAAGTTCATAAACATTTCATTAGGGGGAAATCTATAATAATACACCTTTTCTTATTCACAATTTAAGGTCCAGATAAAAGAAAATATCTGATATCAAATCCATCATAAAGTTATATAAATAATCTAAAAATATATTTAGACTAGGTAAAGGAATATTAATAAAATATAACATATAGAAAAATATATATATGTGTGTGTGTGTGTGTGTTTTTAAATATTTAAGTGCCCTAATATTAATAAATTAATAATTAATTTTATGGAAAATGAATTTAAAAACTTATACCTAAAAAAGAAAGAACGTAAATATCAAAGTTTAGTTCAACAAAGTACCCATTATTTATCAAAAAGTAATAATTATGTTTTTAAAAACAGTAGATTTTCAACCTGCTCATATTATTTCCAAATTTATTTAACTGATTTCTCTCACATTACCCATCATTTTTATGCTCCAAAGCACTCCCTTCCCTCCAAAAAGTAATTTATATAAATTTTGAAAAATAGTTCTTTGTAATAAAGATATACAATTGTAATATATCAGTAATAAGGAGTACATTGGTTTAACAGAAAACTACTGAATAAGAGAAAGTTCATTAATCAATTTTATAACTAAAAAATAAAAACAATAAATTTTAAAAATATTTATCAATTACAGTAAAAGAATTATTTTTATTTTAATAAATGTATATTAACATAATAAACCAGTGTATAAACGATAAACTATTATTTATATGATAACAAATGTAATATGTATTATGAATTTGTATAAAATTAATTATCTCACAACACAATTAAATTAGAAAGCTTTGGAGCAAAAGGTTTCATCAAATTATTTAAGTGTTGGTACCAAAAATTAGAATGAACTTACAGTAGAAGACAAAAAAAATTAAAATGAAGAAATAACCAAACAAGTTAGTCATTTTAACATAGGTGTAAAAATGTCTTCATTGGAAATTCTATTTAAATTATCCATTAAACCAATATTTTCATGGTGAATAAGAGTAAAGGTAATGTATTATTACACAATAAAATATAACTTTTTGCATTAAATAAAAAAAATAAACTAAAATAAATAAATAAATCACAATGACCTTTAACAATATGACAAACAACAGCAGTAATGTCATTAGTCCCAGTGTGAAACCACGTATATACAAAATAACTAGAATTACTTTATTTTTGCTTAACTTTTATGCAAAGTAATTAAACATTTTTTTTTTTATTCAACAGTATATTATTTATTGAAAAAATTTCAAAATGATTAGAATTTAGTTTTTTGAACACAATTAGTTCCACAGTTCCAAACTAAGACTGACAACATGATATTGGTAGAAAAGCAAACAATAACGACATATCAAAAGAAAATTGTAGCCATGCAGCGAAAATGATTATAACTAACAATTGTAAAGTGTATATTTCAAAGCATGAATGTTAGAATTGGCATAAGCAAATTAAATAAAAGCAATCATGTTATAATTGGATTTTGCACAATAGAAGCACACACATTTGGGTACTCATATTTCCTTCCCGTCCTCCATAAACATTAAGTTCAATAAGTTTATACATGAACACAAACAGTATTAGTTAGTTGTTGATATTTACAGAGTATATAAATATTTTTATAGACTTTATATAAGTTTTGAGATGGATTATCAACTTATACTGTTAATTAGTCTTTGTAAAAGATGAAAACATTTGAATTAAGTGAATCATCATTCATCTCAAAGAATAATTTTATATTTTAATGAGAAATGATAATGAAAGAAATAAACTGCGATGACAGTTAATTTATTTGTATTGTATGAGAGTTTAAATGCTATAGAGATTGTCAAATATCTTCAATTATCTTAGAACCCACATCTCTTCTAATGAAATAAGAATTTTTGGTTTGGACGAAGCAGAGGTTCAAAAGATTACTTGATGATAGCTAAATCACAGATGACCAAACAATATTTCATTTGTATGATTAACTAATGGAGAATGCTTTTGTCAAAGAAGAGTCCTGGTTTTCTTTTGATATTGGAAAACAGAGATTTTAATTTAACTTTTAAATTAAAAGGAAAATATGAGTGTCCAATTTTTATTTTGGAATTTAATTTAATTGTTTTATTGAGACTGAAATAAGAAATATTGCATTGTTTTTCACTAATATGAATATATGTTAAGTAAAACAAATTTTATATAAATGAGATAAATTTAAAAATATTTCATTACTACTAAATCTGAGTTACATAAAAAAATAAAAAGAGTTCCTAAGAAAGACATCATGAATCACATCACAATCATGTCTAAGTTATGTGCAAACAATTAAATATTGAACTAATTGATTAATGATTTTTAAAAATTCTCATTAAACAAAGGTTGATATTATAAATACTAAAACAATTAATTAAAAAAATAGAAAAATAAGCAAATTTCTATACTTTGAAAAAAAAATAAAATAAAATTAGGCTAAGGATTTATACGTATATGTACAATAAATACTTTAAATATATAAGGCATTATTTTAGCATTACATTTCCACTTATTGATTCATGTACAAATTGCATTTCTGTCAGAACTCAAGCTGCCTTCATGTTTATTCTTGATTTTCTGTGGCTGATAAGTTCAATTTATTGCTTTTATTGATTAGTTATACAAAATCAATAATAAACTTGATGATGGCTTGAAAGTTATAACAGGTACATGAACATGAATAAATAAGTAGTGAAGTCTAATATATTTAAATTATAATCCATAATTCAACATAATATCAGAAAGTTTAAATAGACAATTATATAATGAGCAAGTATTCATCCATTATATTTGAATAGATCTAAGAGATAAAGATTACTAAATTTTCATGCAGAAATTCAATTGTAGCATTAAAAAACAGCTATTTGTAAGTATACCACAAGTCGTTTGTAATAACTGTGGTAATAAATTTTATTTGTTTAAATAGTTAATAATAATCAATAATTTACAATACAACAAGTTGACAATAGCATACTTTATGCAGAGTAAAACTATTAACCCACAATGCATTGTAGAAACTAAAATATGTTTTCTTCTCTTCATAACTGGAAAGTGCATATTCAAAGTTAAATATATCTGATTTACTTCCAAAACCAAAGGTGATTAATAAAAAAATGAAAATTTACAAAATCTGGTATTATTAATCTAATAAGACAAAGCAGTGGATAATATTTGCTACAGACGATAGCTAATACTTATGAAAAAGAATTACCATGCAAGAAACAAGAGAGAAGTAAAGAAACCACAGCCTTTGCGATTAGATGGTATTAAGAAAAGAAACCTTATAGAGTAACAGAAGTATGATAATTATGATTAACTTATGTTACTAAATATGAGTGTATGATTTTAACAAAATAAACCAGTTATAATAAAGATCCTTCCTAAATTAACTAAAGAATAATAATGAAAATGAACTGGATGGGATGAGAGATCTTCATTACATTATCTTAAGTAAGAATTGCTACTGGTAATTATCCTTCATGATTACTACCATAACTGTTCATTGGATGTTAACTCCTTGTTGATAAGTAAAACAATAAAGTAAAATAAATAAAAACATTTGTTTCTATCCTCGAAGTCTGATCTGCAAGCTCAAGTACATCCTAAAGCAAATTGTGCATGAAAATCCTCAATACAGTTGTTGAAATGGAAGCTGCTCTACATGGTTTTATGTTCAATCTAATTTCCTTCCTCTATATTTTTAAAATATCCGATTAGGTCTTCATACATTTGACAAATAAAATTGTGTCTTGGAAGATTAAGTACTGTTCTATGGTAATAAGTAAAAAGATAAAAACCTATTAAGTGTTTCACATTGATCTTGTTGGACAAAGATCTGGTGTATATTCTCACATTCAAATAATAAACAAGCTGTAAAGCTGTCCATGATATATTCAAGAAAATTTTTTTTATGTATTCATAAAATGAAAATAATAACTAGTAAATTAATTGTAAATAATAAAATAGTCATTAGGGCAGAAATTAAAGTTTTTACCATGCCTCTTTCATGGTAAATGATTATCCATTTCGAGATTCACCATCAAGTGAAATATTAAATACTCCAAGGCTTAAATATTAAAGATATTCAGGCAACTGGTTCTTGACTCTGAACGTTCATGAAGTTGTTCGTTAAAACTGCAGGAAGGCTAAGGGGCTTATGCATTAATTGATAAACTTAGATCACATCCATCATGTTCAGTATTCCGAAAAATTGACTTTTGATGTCATACAATTATATATTGACACTATATTAAATTTAAATATTATAAAGAAAACAATACTATATCCGTTACTTGACAATACAGAAAATGTAACTATTACATAAAAATCTAAAAACCAAAAAATATTAAAAAACAAGATCATTGAAAACAAATTAAGAAAAAGCTAAACATTATTATTTATAACTAATTTACATAAAGGGTTGATCAATACTCATAATAAAAAAATAACTGAAAAAGTTTATACTAAAATTTTCATATTTATAATAATAATAATTTAATTTTTTTAAATTATTTTATGTTTCAAAGAACATTTCATTTATTTTAATTTTATTCTACACAGAATATGAATGTAAGGCTTATTAAAAAAAAAAAGAAATTTATATCCAATATAAATAGGACTGTCTTAAGCAAGAAAAATTTCATAGTTATGTTTGT